CGGTATTGGATCGATGTTTTGAATGAATTGAATTTTATTAGTGAAATAGCTTTCTTTTGCACCGGGAAAACTGGTCTTTTCGTCCTTATCTTTCTCTGCGGAAACTTGAAGTAGCCTTTGGGTTGCTTGCAGAGCCTAAAAAGTTAATATAAAATGAATTCGTTCAACTTTAAGTTTCATTTTTAACCGTTCAAACTTTTTTTTGACATGGGATGTCTCCAAGGTCGAGTAGGCGGCACTTGAAAATTTTTCTCACCAATAAATTTTTAGATGAGAAAAAAGTCCGTTGTGACCGGAAACTTCTGCGGAAAACGCTCCTAAGCGAATGCATCACGTATTTTAAGTAAAAATCAAACTTCCTAAACCTTTTTATAAAAAAAATGTGACATGTGAGTGGAAAAAGTTCTGGGCAAAAAATATATTGTTACAAGATGTCTTGGTATTTATTTAGGAGCGATCTTCGCGATTTCAGTTTTCCCGACTTTTTAAACTTTTTAACAAATTCAACGAGATAACCATCGTCTGATGATTTGATTTTTGTGGAATCGTCTTTAAGTATATGTGATTTTTTCTGAGCATTTAGTCGGTTCAATTCTTTTATAGGGCAATCATCGCTCGATGTATTATTACTGCCATTGCGTTCATGATCATCACTTAAGCTATTTTGTTCACGATCATCATCACTCTGGTCATTTTTCTCACGGTCATCTTTCCCACGATCATCGCTTAAATTATCTTTTTCATGATCGTCGCTCGAATTATTTTGTTCATCGTTCGACAAACTGGTTTGTTTATGATCATTTCTCGACGAGACATTCTTAACAGATTTTCTCGCCAATTTTCTATATAGTTCAATAAATCTCGATCTGACCTCGTCTTCTTCTGACAAACATTGAATATTCAAGAGATCGTTATTCGCGGGAGAGTGATATGGTGTCAGAAACTCCGGTGGTATCTCAAGCGGTTCTCTTAATTGTTTATTATTTTCTGACGTGTCCGAGGGATCTTCTATACCCAAAGAAATCGTATTCTTTAGGATGTCGTGAATCGTCATACGGGTACCATCATCAATTTTAGCATCATAGGATAATGTTTTGCAATTCGTTGTCACTTCTTTGCGAAGAACATGATCGACGTCAACAGCCGAGAAGAAGGAGGCAGACTAATATTTTCAATATATATATATATATATATATGTATGTAGGTATATATATGTACGCATGTGTATATTGTCGTTCATTGCATGAGAAAAAAAATAATGGAGTACACTTACTAGAGGCAAATCTTTGATTCCCAACATGTAACTAAACATCGCTCTTGTCCAAAG